ACATGAGTCACACCATCACCACCATTACAATCAGCACACAAGAATACAGGCCAGTGTAACCACAATCAGTAGTGGCACACGCACCCACACAGAACTGCTGATACTACTGCTGCTGTCTGCATCACCCTTCTTGTTGTTTGTGAGTTCAGGAGGAAGTGTTGTTGTTGTGATGGTGGTGGTGTTTGATTCGCTCTCTGCACTCGAAGTTTCTTGGTTATTTGTTCGTTCACTTTCTGCAGGTGTACGTTCCTTCTCATTCGTTGTGGCATCAGAACCACCTTCAACCCCTTCAGATGTAGTGCCACTCCCAGCTGTGTTAGTTTCAGAACCATTGGTACTTTCTTTGTCTGAAGTGTTTGAAGAAGATTGTGTTGCTTCACTTTCCGATTTAGTTGACCGTTCACCTCTTTCACTGTTGCCGCTGCTTTCAGGTTGAGCTGCAGTTGTGGACGCACCAACACTCTCACCAGCAGCAGGTTTGACAACAGTAAGAGTAAGGGTGGAAGGATCAGTATCAGTAGGCGAATGACCAGGACCAGATTCACTTGTTTTACCGGAAGAATCAGCAATGACGGACCCACGTTCAGCAGAAACACCTTGTCCACCACGGTGATCTTTTCCTTTTTGTGTGAGATCCGATTGGTTTGCTGGACACGTTTTACCAGAATCGTCACCGCAGTTGCCTTTGGTTGTGCGTTCAGTGGTAGCACAATCTTCCTTCTTAGGAAGTTTATCACATTCACCATGAGAACCTTCAGTATCAACACCGCTACTACTACACCGAGTGCCTGTAGTACCTGAAGAACAAGCTTCACCAGCACCAACACTGGATTCTTGTCGTTGTTCTGCAGGAGAATGATGTGGAGGAACTTCTGCTAATTGTTTACAAGTACCTGGAGGTTCAGAGGAACATTCAGAAGTAGCAACTTCAAGTGGAGATTCAGGATCAGGTTGACAATCCTTCGTGTTACTGGTACATGTTTTGAGATCTCCAATGGAATGATCCCTATTCGAAGAAAGATCCGTAGTAAGGCGTTGATCAAGAGAATCATCAGATTGAGAGGGTGAGAGTGCTTCAGCTTCTTCTGGTGGCTCTGGGTGAGATGAACCATAAACACCAGTCGCCCCACACACACAGATAATGTTCAGAAGGAAAACAAGAAAATAAAACACACGTCGCAGCACCATCAGAGTAAGAGATACTTTAGCTGATTGATGTCACCTGACTAGAGAAACCAAAAGTCAAGCAGAAAGAAGAAAAAAATACAGTCCATTAAATAGATTTACAAACAAAAAGAAAAGAACACAACAACAAGAACACTTACACAAATATAAAAATACCAAGTTAAAGAATAAGAACATCGGTAAAGGAGCACCTTAGATAACAACCAAACAAAACGAAAAGAAATTAAGAACAGCACCAACGTTTCCGCAAGCAAAACACACAACATAAAACTCTGGGCACGATGCAGTAAATATGCATTTATCAAGAACAATTGGTATCTCGCCATACTCTCTCACACTCCAGAAAGCAGACCACCATAACAGTGCAGATCAAAGCCCATAACGACCCAGCAAAACCATCAAGCAAACAAAAAACAGATATTAACCAATATCCCAATTTACCCAATATACACAAAAATATATGTGTAAGTCTATATATGCGTATATACGCAATTATAAATATAAATTCATCTGTTATTATTATTTCTTTTTTTCACTGCAAAAAGCAGTTCATCGTCATCATTATTACAGTGCAAGCCCAGGCACACACAGAGAGATTCTCCAAGAACACACACACACAATGGAGTAGTGGCAAAAATAATAATTATAGAATAAACATAGAGAGCAAAAACACACACAAAACACATTAACATTAAGAAAACAAAAAAGAAAAGAAATTACCAACAGGTAGAAGATTAGTTAGACTGTAGGGATGCGTGCAAAAAGAAAAAGAGAAAACAAAGGATGACCTGAGTCACATCACCACACCACCACAATCAACACAATCAGCACACAAGAATACAGGCCAGTGTAACCACAATCAGTAGTGGCACACTCATCCACACAGAACTCATACTGCTGCTGCTGTCGGCATCACCCTTCACATTTGGTTCAGCATTAGCTGCAGTGCGGGATTTCACAGGACTCCTTCAAGTTGAAGTGTACTTCCCTCTTCATCCTCATCATCGTAATCACCATCAAGATCCTCAAGATCATCATCTTCCTCATCGCTCCCGTTCCCAACATCTTCAAGACGTCTCACACCCACAGCAACAGCATGACTAAACAACAGAAGGAACACCAACAGTAGAAGTTTTAAAAAAGGGCATCAGAAGCTTTAGGACTATCAGCCCATACTAACCCAGAAGCACAACACAGTGCAAGAGTTAGTAAACACAGCAGATAACACCTCACCATTACAGTCTTTGTCATTGTTGTTGTTTACTACAATAGACTGATACAAAAGAAGGCAGAGAAAGAGAAAAGAAGGAAAAAATAAGATATAAACACACAAACATACACCAATACAAGAAATACTCACAGTGGGATAGAGAGAGAAGTAGCAACTGCACAGTAGAGCAAGAAAAAAGAATATCCCGCTTGTATAATAATAATATGTACCCCTTAATAGAAAAATGAAAAGAGAACACCCCACAATACCCAAATAAGAGAGAGAGCTAAACACACACAATACCCCATGGCTCTAGTTTATATCTTAAATTACTGCACACACACACATCTGTGTGCACTAGCACGACATGTATACCATCAGTGAGCAGAACAGCCCAGTTTTCTGCACACACAAAACGGAAAAGCAAGTAATGGAATTATTAGAAAAATAACACACACAGACAAAAGAAAAAAACTCGAATTGAAAAAGAAAGCTGGTAAACATATTATTAATTAATTTACCCATGGGGGTATACGCAATTATGATTATGTTAGTTTAACCATTATTCTTATTTGTCCTCAAGGGAGTCCCACTGTTCAGTACACGGTAGCGGAGAACAACATAGCCACAATCAGTAACGGTGCTGCAGTGCGCATCCACACAGGATTGATACTGCTGTCAACATTGGGTCTGTTCTTCTGCACTGCGGATGCGATTGTGGTTAACTCTCCGTTGGGTACAGTAGATGGAGTGGTGGTTGGTGTATCAGTGACATTGCTCTCGGGGCTCTGTGGAGTAGTGGTATTTGTTTCTTGTGATTCTGGTACGGCAGTCGCACCAACACTTGCAGGAGAAGATTGCTGGGTAGCATTAGAGTTGCCTGCTGTACTGTTATCTGTTGTGTTACTCGACACTTCTTCGTGACCTTGTTTGGCTGCAGTAGACTCTTCTACTTGTCTTTCTGTTGTCGACATACTTTCTGCATTCCCACCAGGTTGTGCTCCACCAATCTCAGAAATACTGGGATGTGTCACTGCTGTTGCACTCTCTGACGCTTGATGTTTTGAACCGGGGCCTATCGACGTGGTGGGTAATATGTTCGGAAGTGAATGATCTTCTTCCCCACGTAATGCCTCTTGTTCTTCACGCACTTCTAAAGGAGGATTAGGAGGTAGATTCACATTACTTTCAACGACTTGCGCCTCTGTCGAATCAGGAAGAGTATGCTTTTTTTCACCATTCTTATGATTACGCCAATTCGCACATTTCATTCCATTAACAGTTTCTTCACTTTCACCACCACACTTATAATCATAGATTGCTGTTCCAAGAAAATCATTAAAATCATAAGCCATCACCGCCTTTGGCTGTCCA